GTCTTCCCTGTGCCTGGGGCAGCTTTGTTCAGCTTTTTTTCGCTGCTGAGTTTCCCGATTAATTGTATTAAACGACATTTTCTGTCACAATTTGTTCGTGTTTGATAATACGCTGCAGAGAACGCAAGTTTTGCTGAGCACTCTTGGGTTGCGAGGAAGAAGAAGCGTGGCCCAGTTCTTCCTGCTCCACACCGAGCCCTGTTTTGTAGCCACAGACTTGTTTCGGTGCCCACTCGTATTCCTCTGAACTCCAGGTTAAGGAATTTTAACCCTAAATCCCACAGTTTTTATAATTTAATTGCTCATCTCTGCATATGATCTGTTTATTTCATCCCTTCTTTGAAATGGCAGAAGCTGAATATAATACTTCAGCCAGAGACATAATATCAATTTGTGATTTTTCAATCTCATTTTGTATCCTGGATATATTTTCTGACCTTTTCCTTATCTTTCTCAGCATTCTGCACCAAAAGTAACCCCAGTAATTATTTTTTCCTAATCTGGTTGAAGGAAAGAAAATGGTTGTATTGGTCTCCCTCCATCAAGTCCCCTTTTTAATTTTTACTGATCTAGTTCAGACACATTTGACAGTGGGGTGGAAAGCTTCAGGGATAACTGATTTCTGCAAACTTCATGAAAATAAGTGTCTGGGTAGGGAAGGACAAGATACCCACATTGGTTCCCTTTGGGAGGGAGAGACAGGAGGATTCAGCTCTCATCCCTCTGCCCAGGATACGCTGGGAGGAAAAGCTGAAGGGAAAATCATGGGGGACTCCCAAGGTGTGTTCTGGACCTGGCAGATATGTAGGTTTACTGGAGCTGAAGGGAGGGGAGGAACAGGGGACGTCTGATAGCAATTCACAGGAAATCTGATTCTATTAATTCCTCCGTTTAATTCTTCCATTCATGAAAAAATTACTTTTTTTTCTTGACCTTTAGTTGTCGTATACTTACCCGTCATGACTGATTTTAGCACAGTTGAGAAAACGTATTTATTATCATACGATTCTTGGACAAAGGCTGATACAAATCCCTAATTCTTCCACTTGCCTTTTGACCTTTGCATTTTCCTGTCAAAACATGCAGACTTTTTTACAGAGCTCTGTGAAATTTCTGACTGCTCTGAGGAGAAATCGGCATCCTCAGTGCAGGCCCGTGGCCCTGAAGGCTGGCCTCTCGTAACATCTCTCTCTGGGTCCTGCTGATTTTCTAGACTTTCTGCCAAATTCTCCACTGAAACGTGCAGTTACAGCTCAGAAAAGGAACTTCTTTCGGTCTGCGCAAGTTTTCCTTGAACTTCTTTGTGTTCTTCTTCTGTTTTGCTGTGCTGTGCATTTCTGAACCTGGTGGAGGTTGTGCAAAGCTGATGCATTGGAACGTGTGATTGCAGCGGCGAGTTCCATGGCAGGGTTAAAGCTGCTTCCGGGTTTAATGCTACCCAGGCACTTAATTATGCAGGTGCCCTTCAGAACAGTTTGTTATTTCCTGTGGATACTGACAGCAACAAAGCAGGGTCTCATCATAAAGAAGAAAGACAGGTTCCCACTCCAATCTTACCTAGAATAGGAATTTCCATCCTGTACAAACCAGCTGCAAGACTGACAGTGACCAGGGAGATATATAAAGCTGGTAATGTGTGTTTATAGCAGCTGGCATCTCTCAAGTGTAAAAGGATTGTCTACCTGTGTAAGTAAATTCCTGCATTTCAAACTTTGAGTTTGTTTATGAAAACTGCATGTACTTCAATATTTTAATTGTAAATGCTGATTTCTGTTTCTTCAACTTTGCGTAAGTACCCCAAAGTTAAGAGAGGCAGAATTTTTTATTTTAAGCCAGTTTAAGAGGGTTTTACCTATTTCTTTTTTTTCCCCATTTTTTTTTTTTGTCTTTGCTGTTGTTGAAATTTGATTACAAATGTGCTCTTATCCCTGTTAATTTGGGCTTCTTTCATGTTTTCTCTCTCTGGCAGGTGTTAAATATTTCTTGCCTTTTTAATTTTCTGAAAACAGTGTCAGTTCTCTGAGTTTCTGTAAGAAGATAAGGTGATCGATAGGATTCGAAGGTGCGGGAAATTGCCAGCGATCTTGTCTTGACCAACAATGAGCTTTCAGAATTAGATTTCTGGGGTTTTTGAAAGTGGCTTTTGGGGTTTTTTTCCTACCCTCAGCTGTCTCTTCTCTGCAGCCTGGTTTTATTTCCTTCATTGTTGCTTTTCTGTGTTCACTTCACCTTTCTCCTTTTTGCTCTTGTTGACCTCCTCACCTCTCCTCTCTTCTCGTTATCTATCATTTTCTTTTGATTTTCTTGATGTCTGTACAAGAGACTCTTTTTACCCTCCAAATGTTTGTATTGACAGAGTTTCAGAGAGTGAGCGAAACAGCTAACGGGTGGCCTTGGCTTCAAGCTTGTGGAAGTATTTGCCTTGCATTGTGTACTGAAACGAGCAACTCCTTAATAAATGCACTTAATCTTTCCAGATGCAGTGATGTACAGTGAGACTTTCTGTGGAACGCTGGGACTGTAGAGCGTGTTACTTAAAACCCGAGTAGCCATGAATGCATTTCTCATAAGCTACAACATTGCTATGCTTGGCAAGCCTGTATTTTGAGAAGGGTTTTGTTTGGGGGACTTAGAAAGCTGTCAAAAAATGTTATTATGACTGTAAGCAAATTTACTTCTGACACCACTGACCTCAGTAGGACTCTGTGATGCAAAACTGGAAGGATATGAGGGTGAATCAGCCCCATTGTTTCTTTGTGTACATCCTAATAATTGCCCCTGTGGACTTTTTGCAGTACACACACAATGTAGGCATTTACCTCTCCCTTCACAAACACTTTCCTTGTACCCTTTCTTTGGTGGTATTTTTCTGGGGAAGTACAAGGATAAGTGAACCCTACTTACCTTCCACAACTGACACACCTGAAGTGGAGCAATAATTTGTTTTTTCCACTACACCCCTCTGTGGCTGTTGTCCTTGATGGGGACTTGTCTGTCCTTGCTGGGGCTGTTTGCTAAACCTAGATTGGGATCATGTCATATCCTTACAGGCCTCCCACAGAGAGTGTCAGGGTAGGGAAGGGAATATCCTGATTTCCCAAGTCATGGTCTTTGACATGCGTCTGTTTCGACACTGTTTTCTTAGTAAGCAGTGTTCTCTGAAATCTTACCAGCTGTGTGTAAATAATACTTTGAGCAGAATCAAGAGTCATAAATTCCTTGGCAGATGCTTTTATCTGCTGTCACGTTTTGATACTTCTGGTTCACCTGTTTTGATAGTCACTAATTAATCTTTGTAAGCATTCAACTCACAGAAAGGAAAACATCATTTTCAGTCAGGATTATTTTTCTTCCAGTCAGGGGGAAAAAACAATGAAGAAAAACCGGAATGTTTTCTGTAAAACCTATTCTGAATAAATGACCTATTAAAACCAGAAAGGTCTTTGACCTCTCATTTGTGTGTAGAAAGTCTGGGAATCCATTGTCAAGCATAAAGTGCCAAGGAGGACACGAAGTCCACCATGGTGGTAGGCCTCAGGTACACACAGAAGCAGTATTTTTGCAGGAAAATGAAGTGCTGTGAAGCCGGAGCATGCATGGCTCATACAGGAGAATGAGGGCTTGGGGCAGGAAAATAGTGCCAGGCATTATCTGATACGGTTCGTGCTGGTAGCAGAGCATTGGTTTCAAAGACATAAAAAGATTCTCGAGTCCTTTGCTCCTGCAAAGATACTAATTTTCTTGCAAAGGGATTAATATTTGTGCACAATTTGTTACCATGCAAAAAAAATGGTGGTGTTAAGGAATACTCTTAAATGATTACAGGGGCTTACAACTGGTAATAAAGCTGCATGTATTCCTCCTCAATCAAGCACGGTGCTTAGTCATGAAATCTGAATGGCTGTCTGTTCAAGGATCCCAAAGCAAAGGGGTTCTGTTTTCTAGTCTTTTGTTCCAGACCTCTGGAGGCTTGCACTGGAAACTGAAAAATTACCAGAGACAGAGAAAAGAAAATAAGACACTTCCTAGAGGATATGTAAAGCAGGCTTTCATAGCAACAGAGAGAGGAAGAGAAGGATGGAGAAGTTGCCAAAGATGGGCTAGCTGGGCTTGCATCAACAAAGTCCAGGAAAGGAAAAAAAAAAAAAAAAAAAGAACAAACGTCAAAAACTGGAATTATACCCTGGGCCACAAGACAAACTGTGAACTACAGGATGATTTTGGATAAGCTTAACGTGTCTTGATTTCAGAGCAGGGAGCGCAGCTACCATAGTGAAAAAACTGAGGCAGGAAGTCATGCACAGGGTGATGTTATTTTCACTCAGTTCTGTGTACTTCTTGCACTACGAGGTAAAGTTTCAGTAACCTGTGCTGAGTTCCTGTGTGTGTTGAAAAGAGCTATACCGACCATGTGCCCTTCCACACAGAAGTCAGAAATTAGCACATCGATACTTTCAGTAACGCAGAAGGGAGAAGCGCAAAAAGTCTTGTGAAGGCTTGTGGGAAAGATGTCGCTGTGCTCACAGCCCAGCACCCCAGCTGCCAGGAGGGGTAGTAGACATGAGCCCCACCTCAATGCGAACTGTGTAAAATGCCTCCAAAAAAATTGTTACAGAAGCTCCTCCAGTCCCAGCAAGCTGAGGGACCTCTGTACTTGGTTCCCCTTGTGGGAGCTTGGAGGAGGGCCCAACAGTCAGAGGTCAAGAAGATCCATTAGGTTAATGTGGGTTAATTGGTGCAATAACTCTGATGTTATGTACTAACCTTTTATCATCCCTGACCTGGGAAAAACCCGAGGTAGGCGGGGTGGTAGGGAAATACCTAAATACTTGGCTAAATACATAATAATTTTAATTTCTGCTACTTTTCTTTTGCTGCAATTTCTTTTGATGCAGTGAGGAAATCCTAAGACAATAATTGCTGCTATGCCACCTTCTCTACACAGTATCACCAAAAGCATTGCCTTAATAACATAATTCTGTGTTTGGACTAATGATGCTATCTTGCCTTTTTGTTTCTTTTTCATGTTTGGTTACTGGCTACTTGGCAGTTGTAGGAATCTTTAAATATCCTGGAATATGGTGGAAGCAGTGCTGATAGATCTGTTCAGCCTACCAGTCAACTTGCAGAACACCACCCAAGGATTACTACGTAACGCGCTGGAATCTGTTGAGAAAAGCTCTTCCATCCCTGCTCCATTTGTCTATGTCATGTGTTGCCAGAGGCAGGGGAGTGAAAGGAACGGTGAACAAGAGTCCTCACTTCCAGGTCTGAGAGATTTTCAGGGTCTGAAGAGAAGACTGGAGGTGGTACGTGCTCTGACTACAGCTGCTGCTTTGTACACCATCAAACAAAGACTGGATGAAAAAGACCTAAGCATCATTAAAGTTATTCTCCCTACCCTAAGAAAAGACTTAATGAAAGTATATATAGACCATCTCTTTACAGCAGTCTACCAGTTTGAATTTGAGGATTTACAGGTGGCATCTGACTGTGAAAACCTACAGATCGCTGAACCTCAGAGCGAAGAGCAAACGTTTCCTACCCAGGATGTGGCACTCATCCGAAGCGAGATTCAGATGTACTTGGAAGGCCTGCCAAGCCTGAAAGGGGAGCTCACCATCCTCAGATCTTTCCTGATCCCAGGTAAAGAGAATCCCAGCTAACAGATTTCACAGAGACGGTTCCCAAGCATGCTTCTTCAAGGGAATTGCAAAATGGGTAAGATTTGGAAATGTCTTCAGGCAGCAAATAACTCTGTATGATGTTGCAATAGTGCATCATGTCTGTAAGAGGGGGAAGTGTCAGTAGAGAGACAGCAAAAGACTGGCCAGTCTGTTCCAGGCCTGGGGCATGATCAGAGGAAAGAGAGGCCCAGGTTTAGTGGGAGCATTACTGCAGACAGTGTAATCTGTGTGGGAATTACACACTTTGAGAGTTACCATCGTCTTCTGGAAAGGCAAGACAGGAGCTTCTCCTGGTCTGCAGCCTCATGCATGCCTGGTTAATCAGACTGATATCTTAGTGTCTCTGCCATGCATGGCATGACCCTGTTTACTGCAGCATGACTCTCAAGTGGTGTGATTATGGGGTCTCATGATTCAGAGGATTCAGGGGAAAGCTGAGAGGTTTGCCACTGCAAAAACTTGGAACTTATATGTCTGAAATGATCCAGAGCCTGAAAGGAACATGAGTTACTTAAAGCCATGTTTGCCTTCGTTGTGCTTCAAGTTTTTGACACTGACTTCGAAAGGACCACACTGCATAAAAAGAGACTTCAAATCTCAACTCTGATTATGTCACTAAGTTTGACAGCTATTAAGGTAGCAAATATACCAGTTGTGGGTCTACCTTTCTGTGTTAAACTTTGCCATGCAGACCCCCTCCCTCCCATCGCTGCCAAGAGCAGTGATTGCATTTGGTGCATGAGGCCACCATAAATGATCTGCACTGTAAAAACAGAGGATTTTTCAATAATGCTAGAATTTCTCAGTGCTTTCAGTGTACCTTAGAAAGATGTTTGAGATTCAGTGAAGTCTTCAGGACTAGTACTTCATTTGCCAAAAAAGCTTGGGAAATGCCATCTGAGAACATTTGTTTAAAAATCTACTCTCATTTTCCTCAGTGAGATACCTCTTCTCTAGGGTTTGTACTACAACTCTGCAAAAAGTCAGGCTAAATCTGCCAGGACTCCTTGCTCAAACCCCTCTACCTTGGCCTCAGAGGATTATGATTATGAGCAAGAAGGAAACTTAGAATCCTTAAACTTAAATGCCACAGCTAAATAGGAGATAAAGCAACACTCAACTTGATTGGCTGATTCCAGGTCTCTTCAGTATTAAAGCATTAAAGGTCTGGTCTTGTGTTGAAAGCAATAGTTTGTTGTCTTTTTTGCTTGGCTGATTCCAGGTCTCTTCAGTATTAAAGCATGTTATATCTGGTCTGGTCTTGTGTTGAAAGCAATACTTTGTTGTCTTTTTTGCCTTGCCAGATGATATCTTCCTACATGGCTTCACCACAAGGGCAGGTGGCATCTCCTACATACCAACCCTAAGCTCCTGCAATCTCTTCAGCAGTTCCAAGCGGAGGGACCCACAAGTTGTTGTTAAAGAAAATCTCCGCAGGCTAGCCAGTGCTGCAGGATTTAACCCAGAGACTTTTCACAGAGTCAAGGTATCTTATCAAACAATGGATTTATGTAAATGGATCAGGTCTTCCTTTGTGCATCACTGGCTAAAACTGCAGGCATTATTCTTATCTTTCTCAGCAAGATATTCTAAGAAGCAGGACAATTAAAACATTTATGCTGGCAGTTTATCTGTGGGAATAGCCATCCAAGCTATCAGCCATTTGGCGTTGTATGGAGCATAAGCACTGTTTCTTCCAAGTATATTCTAACTTTTAACTTAGCACAGAGTAGAATAATCAGATAAATGACCAGAGCAGTTTCTCTTAAAAGAAAAATACACCACCACTTCAATGGTGGCTTTCTACTGATACGTCTGCGTGGCATTTGAACAAGGGAGTGCCTGATTTCCATGCAGAAGAGTGTTTCGTGCCAAAGAAAAATCCCTGCGTTAGTCAGAACTGGGTTTTTTCGCTGCCATGTCACTGTCCATGTTCTGTTTTTGTCTGACAGGTTGATCATGCTAACGCTGTGCATATTATGGGAAAGACAGAACCTGACAGCTATGATGGAATAGTTACGAATCAGAAAGGTGTAACGATAGCAGCTCCGGGGGCTGATTGCATACCTGTGCTGTTTGCTGATCCTGTCAGAAAAGCCTGTGGTGCTGCTCATTCTGGTAGGTATTTTAAGTCACAGAGATCAAAATAACTAGGAGACCACTGGAAAGGGAGTTTGGGACTAAGGATTATAAATTAACAATCAAAGGAGCACTGAGTGAGAATGAATAATGCAAGATCACATAACAGTAAAGAGCCTGACCTGTTAAGTTTGCATCCTGCCAAAACAAGATTAGTCTTGACAATAGTTTGTTTCCCAAACTATGGGGTTTTTTTATTTTATAAATGTAATAATTATTATTTATGTATTTGTACATTTATTTTTCTGATCTGGTAGCCAAAACCAAATAATTTTTTTTATGCTCTCACTTCATCTGTAAAAAATGGCTACAAAGCCATGCCCTCAACAATCATTTTGGATCAGAAGAAATATTTGTCTGACTCAAACCAAATGGGCATAAAACTGAAGCAGGGATGGTTAGCACAACCTGGGGTTATGCCTGACTTCAGAAGATTTCCCATCTGTTAGGCTAGAATACATAACCTGTGGTGAGATTTTCTTGCTGGGGCTGTTTCATTTTATAAAAAAGTCTGTGTTTTTGAGGTCAAGTGGAATGCACAGCTGAGAGTGTCTCCTCAACTTTGATGCTAGTGCAGCCCTCTTGATATGGTAGGAAGATTCACCTCTGCCTAGAACTTGTGAATACCACCTTATTCATACAATTCTTCATGCATTCAATAAATAAGCCAAAATAAATTCAAAATTGTGAGTCATCATAAGATGAAAAAAACTTTAACTTCCCTTCAGTAAAGTTGTTGTGCCCCCCCCACCCCCACCCTGTGCCTAGCAAGCTTAGGTTAGAGAAAGTGAGAGGAATGAGAACTGTGGCATGTCTGTCTGGGAGGAGAGGAAAACGATGGGGTTTTTAATGGGGAGAAGGGATGGAGAGAATTTTATCCACTCTTGAAAGTTTTAATAGTTTTACACTGTAAGTGTTCAAACCTAATTACTGTAAAATATTTAAATCTGTAGTTGCTCCTTTCTCCGCTGCCTCTTCATTTATCTAGTCCCTGACACGCCACACTGTTCCCCCAAGCCACACTGCTGCCTTCTCCAAGCATACCTCCTGGCTCTAGCCTGAACTAAGCCTTCCATTTCCCAAGTTTTGGCCTTCATTGCCACATCATAGTCCTTGCCAGGCTTCCAACTACCTTTTCCTAAATCCTTTTCTTCCCACCCAACCCCACCTCAGGTCAGTTTAATTTGAACACATGTTGCTATGTATGCAAATAAAGACAATTAGGTATAAGGTCATCTCAATCTTTGGATGTAGAAAAGCAGAGGAAAACTTACTAGCGTATCTTATCCTTTGGTATGACACACACCTTGTGCAATGCAAAGACTTTCCGGGACTCAAACTGAGATATGAAAACTCAAAGCTGGGCTTTCTTCTGTCTATTCCAAGCAACACCTCTAGCTTGAGCCTATTTTTTTTTTCTAAAATAACACTAAAAACATTTTCAGCATATTATAAAAACAGAGTTCTGACTATTACATATTTCTGTTATCATATTCCCATTTAAACATTTCAAGCACAGAGGAGCTGTAAGGTATGCTCTAGTTGCCCAAACCAGGACACTGGGAAAAAGGAATCCTGGAATCCTAATCTAAACTCTTCTCTCAAGTTTCCATCTCCACAAAATGATGATATCAGCAAACTGACAGTTGTTAATGTGTTGGGTTGATTTTTTTTAAAAAAAACTTATTTATTACTAGCTATTATGATTTATTTTTAAATATAAATATATCTGGTCATTTGTACCTTTAATAATAGCATATATTTGACTCCTATAAAATTAAAGAAACAATTTATACAATTTTTTTTTCAACCTCTCATTTCTTACAGGATGGAAAGGCACGTTGTTAGGAGTTTCTATGGCCACAGTAAATGCTATGGTATCTGAATATGGCTGTAACGTGAAAGATATCCTTGTGGTGCTGGGCCCATCTGTAGGACCTTGCTGCTACAAACTTCCTCACGAATCAGCTAAAGAATTTCACAGAATCGATCCAAAGTGTGTGAGACTATTTGACTCTGCAAGTCCTTATATTGATATTAGAAGAGCAACGCGGTAAGTCAACTGAGTGCATTTCCATGACTCACACTTTTTTTTTTGTGCTGAGTAGACTCAGCTTAGAAGAACAAAAGGTTAATTCCACATTAGTTATCAATAATTATATTGATATTCTATTATCCAGCATTATTACGGTGAGGGTCCTCACCATCTTAAAGTACTCTCTAGTACTTTGCAGGTCAACAAATTATACCTTTGAATGAATCAAATCTGCTCACCTTTGCTGTGTTTCAATTATTATTTTACTTTTAGTTTATGGTTTATAGGCAAATGTTCAAATGAAATGTGGTTTTATTGGTAGCAAAAAAGCAATTATTTTACTCTAATACTGGAAAAAAAGAAAAAAAATAAAAGCAAATGAAAGTCCCAACCCAATTGGTACTTGAGGTGCTGTCTTAAGGAATGTGAGGATGTACAAAAAGTACTGTTTTCTGTTTCTCTTACTTTCTTTAAGGATTCTTCTTGAGAGCGGTGGGATTCTTCCTGAGAACATCCAAGATGATTCTGTGACAGACCAGAACCAAAATATCACCTTCTGTACTGCATGCCACCCTGATAAATTTTACTCTCACTTTCGTGATGGCACTAACTTCGGGACACAGATTGGTTTCATATCAATCAAAGACTGAGATAGTATCTCTTACTCTTGAATAGTATTTAGATGATGAAGTCTGGTGCATTGCCTGGCATCCTGCTCTCCTCGTAGAAGTTCCTCCTCCTTCCTTTCACAGACTTGCAATAGGGAATTCATGGGTCTTCAGATTCTCTTGCTTCTTCCCTTCCCTGCCATTGTGAGGCAAGAAGAAATGTGTAAGGTGTGGGGCTGGTAATTCTGGTGTGAGACAGGGTCTAATGGAAGCAAGGACAACCCACGCCAGTGACAAAGCCCTTCTGCGAGACCAGATGCAAGCTCCCATTGTCTTGCCTTCCTGACCAAATATATCCCAGAAACCTCACTGTCTTAAGGTGGTGAAAGCACAAAAATCAAAGTGTTCATTAGCTTCTGGATGAGACTTCTGAAGGAAGTATGACATTACTGATATAGGACAGGAAGCCTGTGTTGCACATTAACTGTTTGAGAACACCCAGCTTTGGCAGTTTCCCCTGAAGGTTAGCCTTATGGAATTGTGTGCCTAGGATTGTTTTTCTTCTTTGGATTAGTTTAAAGAAGAGCTCCAAAACACTTACAGGACTTTTCCTATGGAAAATAACTTCAAAGTTAGAAGCAAACAAGATCCTTTGGGGCAGACATTGAAAAGATATGAACCCTCACCATTCTGTATTTTTTGACTGTAGAAGAAGTAGGACTCTTAATACGATGTGATATGTATGTTGATATTTCCGTAGAATTTTTTTCTTTGAACTATTGGTGCTTTGCTAATATGCCAGTAATGAGACAGTCTCAGGAAT